TGTGGATTTACTCTTCATTGACTTTTAGACAAGCGAGTTTTGATGATGCTTACTTGAGATATCTGCGGCAGGATAGGATAGAAGGAATTGTACAACAAAGTCACAAACGACGATATCACATTTCATATATATATATATACCTGGATCGATCGATGAATAGATATAGAGAACGACCATGTTCCAATGAAGTTTTGACGTTTTGAGAGTCTGAAGTGTGGTCACAGACACAGCATGCAAGATCTCCCAAACCAAAAACCCGGTATATATGTGCACAATTCAAACCCACTTGCAAGCTATGTAAAACGGTTCGCACCCATCCAATCACACGGCACTGACTCATTACCTAAGTGCCTAGGGTAATGTATATATATATATATATATATACCTACCCCCATCACACCTCTAGTCCAGCAACGGCACAGACGGCCTGCGCGCTCGGAGAAAGGATTTACCAAACATTCGAGAGGAGCCCGCAGGCCGGCTCGAGATATCGTTGCACACGTCTGTGGGATTGATGATGAAGGCGGTTGTGAAGAGCATCGTCCAAGGCAGCGGCGGCGGCTTCCAAGGGCGAATCCATGACATGCGCGTGGACGCCAGACGTATCTCGGTTACGCCGGAGTTGAAAACGGCGTGAGGAGTGGAGTGTTGAGCACGTTCTCCTCGGGGCCGCTCGTCACCGTCACCGTCCTTCTCGGATATCGTCGATTTCCGTGGGGGAGGCTGGGGCCAAAGGCAGGACGCGTCAGTGGTAAGTCCCCACTGACCTGTGACTGACAGGAAGGAAGAGAGAGAGAGAGAGAGAGAGAGTATATATAGGTAAGCTAGAGGTATTTAAAGAGCACTAGAGAGAGAGAGAGTATGTCGACTTACGACGTGAATCACCATGTTACTTACGAGTCACCCACGAATGAATACATTAGTCTCTGAGTATGGCCATATTTGAGGCTATGAGCGACGGACATTGTGAACTTGTTTTTCATTCATGGCACTTTGAAAGTGCTGTGGCTCAGACCCCTAACTGGGTGAGCAGACCCTCTTACTGGGTATCCTTGGCTATTTACTCGTAACAAATCTCGTGATGAGACACCAGGCTCTCAACCGAACGCGCTGCGTGAGCGAACCTGCCTCCTAGTTTTGTCAAATCCAGGCTCTAGAACCGCACGAACAAGTAAGGGAGTTGCCCGAAGTGAGCTGATCACTTCTCCTCGTCGTCCTTCTTCTCGTCCTTCTTCTCGTCCTTCTTCTCGCCCTTCTTCTGATCCTTCTTTTCGGCATCGCCTTGCTTCTTCTTCTCATCTCCTTTCTTGGACTGCAAAGCTTGAACCTGCATGGCCTCTAGCTCACCATGCCACCCCCTCATCCCACCAATGTCAAAGTTGAACCCCTGCTCTCGGGCACGCGCATTCGCCTCCGTTCCAGTTCCCGTGGCCCTCATTCGAGCAGCCTCAGCAGCACGTTGCTGACGAACTGCGTTCAGCGCATCATCGCGCCCAATGGTAAGAGCTTCTTGTGTGGCGCGAGTGGCAGTGGCACGCAACGGTTGCTCACCACGGGCAGCAGCCAGGGTCTCCGATTGAAGGAGGCGTTGTCGAGCTTGAGCGAAGGCAGCGCGGCGGGCTGCTGCATTCGGAAAGTTTCGATTGACAAGATCTTGTAACTCTTGATAAAGCTGTTGTTTTGCCTGGCGCTGGCGAGCAGTCTCACGCGGCGGAGCGGAAGCATTGCCAGACCCAGCAGTCGCAGCGGAAGCTTGGCGACGAGCAGGCGGAACACGGGGACGACGGGCAGTGTTAGAAGCAGCACCAGATGCGTCAGCTGCAGTCGAGGGAGAAGCAGCAGTGTCAGCTGCGGTGTTGGTATTGCGTGCACGAAGTGTCTCGTTGCGACGAGCGCGTGGTGGATCATTGCTAGGAACAGCAGTGCCAGTAGGGGTACGACCATCTGAGTCAGTGGCGGCTGGGAAAGGAGTAGCAGTGTTAGCTGCGGCGTTGGCGTTGGCCCAGCGTGCACGACTTCTCTCGAGCTCTTCGGGGGAAGTAGCCATTCTAGCTTCGGCGGCGGCAAAGCGTGCACGAAGTCTCTCGGCGCGAAGAGCGCGGATGTCATTGATATTGCTGGGGAGGGTAGGAACAGCTGAAGCGGCTTGTCTGGAACGATGATTGCGAAGACCATGCGGATCCTCATCACGGAGGTCGTTGATGGAAAGAGTTCGAGCACCAGAGGTCAGAGCCGCAATGGGGTCATCAGAGGTGACGGCAACGTTGCGACGAGTAGCGGCAGTTCCAGTGACAGCGCCAGCAGCAGCAGCAGCAGGCACAGTAGCGGTGTCATTGCTGCCGTGTTCGTCTTTGACGATTTCAGAAGCGTACTCCATCTCGGTGACAGTGGATTCAGCGGCAGTGCTAGCGGTGGCAGTGGTAGCGGCATCCTTGTTACCATCGTCATTGTCTTTGGCACCTTCGGCAGCGAAATCCATGTTGGTGGGGAGTTCGTTGTCATCTTGTTCCTCTTCAACAGCCTCGGCAGTGTGCTTCATCTCGGTGGCAGCGCCTTCAGTATCTTTCACTTTGTCTTCACTGTTGCGCTTGCGGATCACCTTCTTTGGTTCTCCGTGGACATAGAGGTTTTGCTCGCTAGTGGTGTTGCCCATTCTGGCGGCAATGAAGAATTCGAGGGGACGAGGGTCGAGGTCGATGGGCTTTCGAGTTTTGATAGCAGCAGCGATCTCGATGATGCCGATGCAGACAAATGGAATGTGTTGGTCACGGTATTCGTTGAGGGGGACGTCGAGATCTTTGAGATTTGGACGTTGGCGAAGGAAATCCGCACACTCAGCGCACCAGTCCAAGAAGAAATCGACAATGATGCCAATCACGTCGAATTCGTCGAGAAATGGAGGGCAGTCGATGGCGTACTTGAAATCGACAGGATTGAAGGGTTGGAGCGGTTTCAAGTCAATAAAGAGACCCAGAAGCTTCCCGGAACGGATGCCTTCAAGGATCTCGCCTTCGATGTCCGTGTCAATACGCCACTCTGTCCTGCCAGTCGACTCGTTGAAAGACGAGTAAGCAGTGTGGAGAAGACCTCGCAAGGTATCCCGAGCCGCTTGCGGGCTCCTCTTGAACGTCTGATAAATCCTCTCTCCAAGAGCGCAAGCCTGAAACAGAGAAGAGGTTGTGTCAGTAAGAGCAGATCTGAAAACGCTTTTCCACCTCTCTGTGGATGGGAGAAACTCACAGTTTGTCTGTAGTCGCCGTTCAGATCGATGGCTTGAAAGGTTCCAGTCAAGGCACGAGGGTTGGTAGCTGCGACGGTGTTGGCAAGTTCGTCAAAGACTTTTTGGACTTCCGTGGGTTGAGAAACTGAGGAGCTCTCGGCGGTTGTCTTGGCTGAATCTCCAGCAGATGATTCCGGAACCTGGTTGAAGAAGTCTTGAGTGGCGCGGGCATGGCGCGCAGCCTTCTTTGAATTGTTTGGAGCCATCGCGGTTTGTGTGTGAACGATTCGCAGCGATGGGATCGCGGTTGGAAGGTGTGCGGGTTGAAGTAGAAGGGTGAAATCAACCATCTCAAAAGGTGTCACTACTTCAAAGCGTTGAAAATGTTGTGGCAGCCAGCACTTGGCGCTAGCGACAGCGTGCTCACTCGTCTTCACTGCCACACCTGCAGTGAAGACGAGTGAGCACACTGTCGAACCTGCGAAATCGGTCTAGAGGTAGAGGGTGTGGTATGAAGGAAGTTGATATTGGTTTATATGGGGAAATCTTAGCGCCTTGGCAGCCTTGTCCAGCCTTGCCCCTTAACCAGGATGTAGGCTGCCAGATGACGAACTTCAGCAGCAGCACGTCGTTGCTATGTACCTAGGTAGTACACAGAGCTTCTGCTGCCTTTGACAGAAGAACTCTTCATCCGCCAAACGTCCGTCCATCGACAGGACATAATCCAGCACCTCCTGAATGATGGAAACATCCCAAAGCTTCCCGTACAAGAAGCTCTATGACCGAGTTGTCGAATTGTGAAGAAGCGGATAGCCACAGCTGTCTTTTCCGATGCCATTGTCCACGGTCTATGATCATGGGATATAACACTGCCGCAATGCCTTGGTCTTGCATTGCAGCGCTCGTCAATTTCTCTGCCCACAGAAGTAGCTTGTCAACGCTGTGAACCTCTTGCAGTCAAGGGAACCCCGCTTCCGGTCAACAGGATCTCTCCTTGTCAAGAACGCTCTCATCAGATGAAGAGCGGGAGATGACTCCGTAATACGCCGTCTCTATCGAACCTTTCACCGACTACACCTTGCGGCCTTCGCCTGACTTTTGCACGGACATGCTTCCAGCACTATACGGGTTGAGAAAGCTCGTCCTTGTTTGAGAGTCCATCAACTGCATAATTTCATTGACATCATTACAGGGGTGGTATCTCTGGGCTTATCCAAAGCCCTGCACATTCTCCCTTGTTGCCGTCCGCCGTTGTCATCAGGATCTTGGAAACAAAGAGTCTATCAAACAGTCCGAAACCCGTTTCTGATCGTCAGGCCAGCCAAAAAGAAGGAAAACAAGAAACGAACCAGGGATATCATCGAAAGCGCAAAGTCCCAGAAAGCAACAACAAAAGCAAACTCGGTAAACTCAGCTTCCCATGTACATCTGCTGCGGCCCAGGATTCGAAAAGTCCATCCCGGTCCCACTGACGTAGCCATCGGATATGTCCTCATCATAATACTCTCCACCGCTTGATGCATCGAAGCCTCCTCTTCCCATGCCGCCCACGTCGCTGAGGTCTCCTTGATCGTCAACAGTCGGAATTTGCGACCAATCTATGTTCTGCAATGCAGGATACTGTTGCAGGAGTGCTGCGGGTAAAGCGAACCCACCAGTACCTGTGGTCGGATCCATGCCAATCATCATTGGTTGAGGAACGGGTTGCAGCCCGCCCTGCTGGGCAAAATGTGCTTGCTGCTGTTGCTGCTGCTCCATCATCGCTCTGTTCTGCCGCTCCGCTTTCTCTTCCTCAAGAAGGGGCTTGATGCATATCCGCCCGGCTTCACTGCGGAAATGCCTACCAAGGGCATCCGCTCTGGCAAACCGTCTTCCACAACCCCAGTGGTGACCTGGGGTCGAATGAAGCTCGCCCTTGCAGACGAATTTCTTCTCTCCGCTGTGTAAGCCTTCATGGCGTTTTCGATCATGTTGCCTGGCAAACGCTTTTCCACAGACCGTACACACAAAGGGTCGTTCATCTGTGTGCGTTCGTAGATGCGATCGTAAATTGTACGCTCTTGTGAAGCGTTTCGGGCAGAGATTGCATTGGAACGTAGCTGGGTGTTTTTGGACCCTTGTATTGGATCCGGACGATGATGCGTTGGGCCTGTTGGGATCGGCGAGGTCTAAGATATAATCCCTGTTTTGGCCCATTGACGAGGTACTAGCTCGGCGATTCTTATCAATTCGCCCAGACTGCACTCCCGGTCCAGGAGATGATTCCCGCGACAGTGATTGACCTCTTTCAGGAGTGCTAGATCGGACAGAGAGGCTGTTGCGGTTGGAGTTGGTCGCGACGAGCCCCGGCGAACCCGATCTCGACAGAGGGCGTGTGAATGTCACATCGGATTTGCTTCGGTTGCGGCCCCCTAGATCTCGAGTTAGCTCTTCTTCACAATGTCCGTTGGGGACGAGGTGGCATACTGTTGCTTGACGGAGGACTCAAAGCACCTTCAGTGGCTTCTCCCTGCGGCCCAAAGCTTTGTTGTCTCGAAACCGGCGCCGGTTCGATGTTGATTGTTGGGGGTTGGAATTGGTCAGCTTGACCAATGTCCGAGACGACCGAAGTATTCCGCATATGGTTGCTCGGCACAACGGGCGGCTGATATTGAGGTCCCTGTGTGGTATAGACGTCAGGCACTGGAATTCCCAGGGGCTGACCCAGACGCAAGCCACTTCCGTCCGGTCCAAGGCCCTGTTGGTTGGCTTCCAAGTTTGGCATCAGCCTTGGAGATCGATACGGGGCCTGGTCACCTAAACTAAAGCTTTCCATCCCGAACGCATTGCTCGTATCCGGTTGCGCGGGAAGATACGGCGAGTGGGTAAGATCGACTCCTGGTTGGTGTAATTCTGTATGAGAAAGGTAAGGGGAATGGTTTGCGGACGAAATATCGCTATGCTCCGATGGCGCTCTGCGGTGCTGCTGGAAACTCAGGCCAGAATAGGCACTGGAGGGATCCAGAGAAGCATTTCTTGAATGTTGAGGGGTGTAATACTGGCCATTCGTGGAGGCAGGCGAACCTGGTTGAGATGAATGGTTTTCTGGAGGATGCAGATTCGGTGACTGATGATCCTGAGGTGAAGACACCTTGCTCAATTCTGCTGGATTGACATTGTTCTGAGGGTTCATGTCGAAGGGTTGGTTCATGGAATAGGTCTGGTTGTAATCCCCGGCTATATCTTCACCCTGGTATATGAAGCCACCGGTGTTGAAGGACTGATCCAAACCCTGGCCTCCGAATTGATTGTCTGAATAGATGTTCTGATATTGGTTATTGTTGTAGAAATCGGACTCGTTCGGATCGGGTTGGAGGCCGCCTTGTTGCTGAGAAGCAAGGTAGGGGTTGTTGAAGACGTTGGCGGAGGTATTGAACTTGCCAGTGGTCAGGGCTTGTTGAACGGAGGGGTCTACTCCTGGTACAATGCCGGCGTAGTGGTTTGGAGAAGGCTGAGGGCTTATGTGCTGCGCATTGCCTCTCGAGGGAGATCTCCCTCGGGGATTGTCCATCTTTTTCAACTCAACCGCTCAGGCACGAACCACCGATTTAGAAAAGGTGCGGAGAAGGGACCGGGTGGGAAGGATGATAAGCCGCTTGGGGCCGTCAAGGAATATGGTTTCCTCTAGGAATATTCAACCGTCTCAGGCTGGTCTGAGGCTCGAGATCGGGCTCAATTGGAATTCAGGATGTGTTATCCAAGTACACCTTGCCGGCTAGCCTGTGGCGCAGTGAGTCAGAGAAGATGCCCTCATACCATACATGGTCGGATCAGGCTGGGGGCCATACTCAGCCGCGCAGTGAGGCTATGCCGCAGTGAGGGTCTTATAAGTAGTCGCAGAGGGCCGTCAATGATTGGAATTATCCAGATACAGTATTTCCAGGTTGGTGCGACCGCGACGCAGGGCGCAAAAATAAGTAGACGTAGGTTCGCAGCTGGCTCGAGATGAGAACTTCGGAGTGCGATACGAACTGGCAGCGGCGAGCTGGGGAATGTTGTGAGTCGCGGAGATGGATGCCGGGAAGATAAGAGGCCCGCGAAGAGATGGAATAATAAGAAGGTTATAAGGAGATGGTGCGATATAATCGACGGGAAGTGGAAGAGGTGTAGGCTCTCAGTAGCGACAAATATGCGGTATACAGAGTGGACAGCTCACAGTGGGATGGTGGATGGAGGAGTGCGAGGTAAAGTGTGAGATGCGGCGAGATGCAAGATGCCGGATGGGGGGTTCAGAATCGTTCTAAAGAAAGGTGCCGTAGTGCAGTGGTTAACGAATACACTTGAAACGAGCGAAGCGCCGCGCCGGGAAGCCAGTCTAAGCACTCCCATTGGCCTTGGGAAGCTGTTAGCCTGTGCCCGAGGTACCATGGACTAGCCCGACCCCTCTATTCCTCGCCGGGCACCACGCCAAAGGGCAACCGAAAGGTCCCTGGGGAGCCCTGACGACGGTATACCTAACCTACCATTGTAGAGCTGGTGAAGGCCCTAGGTAGTACATGCATATAGGTACCATCGTTGTCACTGGTCACTGAATGTCCAGGTACTAGGTACCTCCTATAACGAGGTACTGTACTTGGTACCTCATAATGACTGTCTGTGCCCATGTGCCTCGTAAGGTCTCCCGTCGTCCATCACCCCACCACCCTCCGAATCACCAAATCAGCTATTAAAAAGCTGGAACTGCCAAATTCCTTACCTGGAGATTCTGCAACCTGGACGCCCCAAACCCACAATCTCTCTACCTAGCCCTGAGTCCTGGTTGCCTTTTGGTCCTGCGAGTTCTATCCGTGATCCACAACAGGACACAATCACCTTGCATTCTCCCTAGCGGACCATGATGACCGACAGCGCCGATGGTGCTGGGTGGTGTGTCTGCCTTGTGAACATCCTTACTTACAACTCCGTCCGCCATCCTGGCCCTGGTTGATCTGATGGATAGATACCCTGACTTCCTCATCACCCATGTCTGGAGAAGTGTCGTCAGCCCACCTGCTCGAGATCCTGGTGCCTGGCATGAGCCGCGACATCGTGACGTTGTTCTCGTATCCCAAGTCCCGGGACTTTTCAGAGACAATCCAGCTAGGTACACAGTCGAGTTACTAGCTAGTACATGTGTTGTGGCTGTGTAGTGGGTGCCTGCCAAGTGAGCCAGTATCTCACAAACCGACCAGACGGTGGAACCAAATGTTTTCGAGGCCGTGTTCCGTGCATCTACGACGAACCGATGTCTGTCTCCATTCACAAGCAAGTGCATCGTTTCGATAATGTAAATCTTTTGATTGTCTTTTCATTACCACCTCCCGTGCATGATCCTTCCCCTGGTTATTTTTTGGGTCTTTGTGGGCATCCTTGTCTATTTTACACCATTTCATTCCAGCCTTTCAAAAGCATTGAACGTGAGACCCAAGATTTTGTGCCTCCTCCAACAGCTGCTGGACTTGTTCTTGTTCTTCTTGTTGTAATTTCCTTTTTGCTCACTCCTCGTTGTACCAGGGAGCGACGGTGGTCTTTGTGCGTTCAACGCCTCAAACACCCTGCTCCCCAACCCAAAAATGCCGCCATAGATAACACCCTGCTGATCCTTGTACACACCGACGAAAAATGAGGAAACAAGGAAAGATGCTATGCACAAAAGTGATCGTGATCCGTCGTTAAGGATTTTGCCCTCGCCTGTACCGCCTGTTTTTTGTAGCGACAAGAGCTGTCTCGGTCATTTTTTCCGAGCCAACAGATGCCAAATAGAGGAAATTCGAGACGTGGAGTCAGGAGAAATGCCTCCAATTCTGTGCCAATGGCGCAAGATCCACCAAGTGGTTATCCACGGGGAGTCTGGCCGTCCAGCCCGACGAGATGTGGACTGCCCGGGCGATGATCTTGTTGGGCATTCTCAACCTGGCGGAGGGATGTCAGTTTTCAAGATAAATGGCAGATTCATATGCCTGGGCCACATACCACAACAAAGCACCTTCATCATCTTCTGGAAGAAACCAGGTTGCTGTTCCTGTTGTTGGGCAGGTCGGCCCTGATTGTTCTGCAAGGCTCCTGTGGCGGGACTTGTTCTCGCCTGTTGGTTCACCAGGTTGGCATTACTATTTTGGAATTGGGCTTGAGTGCTCGCTGGAGGCGTATTCATGTCCAGTTGGCCAGCCAACCCACTACTTCTCTTCGGGAGATTGCCCCCGGCGGCGCCGCTTGTGCGATCTCGAGCGCTCTTCCCCATGGCCGCCACTCCCGGCTTCGCTGGTGACCCTGGGGGCGGGGGCTGCGCTGCGTTTAAACGGTCGGCCGATATTGCTGCTCGGTCGCGTGAAGGTCGTTGAGCTTCTGAACCTCGGACCCCAGATGCCCCGTGCAAGGCACGAGCAGAGGCATCAGCGGGAGGGTTGGCATTATGCAGTTGCAGGTGTGCTGGATGTTGCTTGACTGCTTCCCAGCCACGACCGCCATTCAATTTCATCCAGTCATATTCCCCATCCTCCACTTCGCCGGTGTTCTTCAGCGCTTGGGTGAACAGGTCTCGTAGGAAGTCGTAGTCTGGAGTGTCCTCAAAGCCCAAATTACGGACGTAGCTGAGATATTTGTTGAACTCCTCTGTAACACCAATTAGCAAGGCACTTCTCCCAGTTGATGCAACGAGTCCATAGAAGCGTACCCGGGAAGCCTTCGCACAGATCCTTGATAGCCGTCGTCTGTTTCTTCTCTCCAATCTTTTCGTACTTTTGTTTGTTAGTGGCGGCCTTCAGACCCTGCCATGGTAGTCCGCCTCTCAAAAAGTACATGAAAACATGGCCAAGAGCTTCCAAGTCGTCACGTCGTGACTGTTCTCGTCCCAGATGTGTATTGATACTCATATAACGCGCTGTGCCTGACAGAGATTTCCGCTCACGGTAAGGAATGTGTTGTTTGGTTTTTGGGTCTCGATATTGTTTTGCCATTCCAAAGTCAACGACGTGAATGACATTAGCAGCCTTTGTCCCAGGTCGGCCAATGAGGAAGTTGTCAGGTTTGATGTCGCGGTAAATTAGATTCTTCTCGTGGATCGTCTGCACTCTGGACAGCTACCAACAGGTCAGCATTGGGTGGTTATTCTTGGCGCGAGAGTGCTCAGTACCATCTGCTTAGCAACCATAACCACAGTTTTGATCGAGAAGCGTCTGTTGCAATGATCGAAAAGGTCTTCCAAACTCGGGCCAAGGAGATCGATCACGAGAATATTGTGTAGACCCTCTTGGCCAAAGTAGTAGACATTGGGGATGCCAGCTGGGTAACAGGGTCAGTTTCGCGGGTCCCAAAGCTCGTGAGGTGGAAGAGGTGTAGCATACGACAGCCGACCAGGATCTTGTATGTGCGGTATTCATCGCGCAGCTGAGGGGCATCACTCTTTCTCGGTTCCTTTGTCGCATCTCATTAGCCTTGCAAATCATCATGGCCATTCTGTCAGTGGGATACTCACAAATTTGATTGCTACCTGCTGGTTGTTGAGCAAGTTGGTGCCTTCAAAAATAACGCCAAAAGAGCCCTCTCCTATTTTTTTCCCGACGCGATAGTGCACCCCTACAACATTGGACGACGAGGAGGCCATGGCTGTGACGAATGATCGGACTGACTAAAGTCGTGGGACAGGACGGTGAGGAGGGAGCCGGGGACAAGAAGGCTGTTTTGTAGAGAGGAAAGGCGTCGTGGAGGCTATGTAGATACGAGGTGCGAAGCCTCAGGGCGGTTCACACCTCCGCCACCGCGGTCACTGCTGGAAATCAGTAAACATGCACCAATATTTGCAGGCACCAAGAAGCCGAAGAGAGGAACATACGCTTCGAAAGGGAATCAAACTAAGCTAGAGAAGCATGCGGCGGGACAATGTGGTGGTCAATGGAGGCTGAGGATAGGCAAGCACCATCTGCAGGATGTGTTGTCTTCAAGAAGGAGTCCAAGGTCTGAGTCTGCTGCAGTCAGAATCGAGCAGCTCCTGCCAAGACTGCGAAGGAGCCAGCAATGGCTGGACTGGATGCAGTGGCTCGATGGCTACAACCGCAGCCTGCCACCCACTGGGAAATGTGGAACCTGGGTCAGGAACCCGGACTGACGCCGGATATCAGAGCTGCGGTCCCTTTTCTAGTGTATCAAAATTGGGTCGACCAGCCCAGCACAGCGAGTTGCGATGTTCTGTACGTAGTACACAATGGACAATGGTGAGGAAAACAAGAGGGAGGGGGAAAAGAAGTGACCAGCAGCAGAGACAATTGTGATGGGTGAAATTTGGGCGCTGTTACCGAGTGCTCCAGTTTACCAAGCAGGCCACCTATAGACTGCGGGCAGGTGGGCAGGACGGGGAGTGGGCTAGGCGTCTGTTGTGCAAGTGCTCCGTTCCCAGTGGCATCCTGGTGGGCGGTGAAAATGGCCAGCTACCGCCTAATCCCTAGTGAGGCTCCAACCGGGGAGAGGGCGAGGACTCCCTTTCAGAGAATCGCAGGCGGTAAATCCGACGCCCAACTACTGGCACCCACTGGGGCCCAGCAACCCACTAGGTACACCACAGGCCCAGATCTTGCTCCATTAACCGCCAAAGCGACGAGTAGGGCACAGCTGTCTCCATAATCAGACGCACCGGGATTCTTACTCGCATCCAAAAATCAACTCATCACCCCCAGAACCAGGCTTCCAGACGTTCCAGATGGACCAATCTGGCTCCGTCATCCAGACAAAAAGAAGCGCAAGAATGGCAAAAGGATCATGTAATCTCTGGTCACTTGCTTGTTCATGCCTGTTCCATCTCCAAGCTCCGGCCCATGCAAGGTTGACAGCCCATTGACACTCTGTGACTCTGGGGCAAAGTCATTCAGCCCTTGCCGGTGCTTCTGACTGGCCCGAGGACCCCCGCCAGGCTTGATTACCTTACCAAGGGCTCCGTAGTCCGTACGAGTCCTTGCGCACCCGTCCTCTTCCCTCTTCTTGTTGGGCTAGCTATGATAAGGCGCCGATATCGTTATCGAGATGAGTTCGGTCCGAAGTTCCTCGGAGGTATGGTGCCAAAACCCACAGTCTCTGAGGCGCTCGTTAGAGTTGAGCAGATCAATGCATACAACCGAAGCTCGTCTTGTGTCGATCCTTTCCACAACAGTTCAAGTTCTCTCTCCCCTTTTTGAAACGTCAAATCTGGAGTATTACAAGGAGCCATCTCTTCGAACATATGCAGCCACCATGCACTCCTTCTTCGGTTACTCTGCACTTCAGCGTATCCTTCAATTTACTCGGTACAGTCCAAATCCAGGCCCTCCATGTCGGCCGTTTGTTCGATTCTCGTACAACATGTTAGGTATGAAATACCCATGCTAAACCGTCCTCGCCAATTTCGTGCTGGGCCCGCTCCATCCTATCCGTATCCTCTCTTGTCTCGCTGAGCCTGCGTCCTTTTTCCGTGTCTTTTTCCTTTCATTTCATTGCCTCTCTACCTGACCACTCTATTTCTTTGCCGACGGTGCTGTAGGAGAATTGCCGCCGCCTCGCGTTGATTGACTGCCAAAGCGCATCACCTTTCGAAGCGGGGAAGGGGTCGCCGGTTGAAAGGCGGACGATGCCATTGTGGGCAACACGTCAGACGGATCCTTCCTCTTAAAAAGTCCTCCAAAATGCAAACTCTTACTCTTCTTCACCGTCCTCCCGTTGCCGTTGTCTGACCTGCCCTGTTGATAGCCATCACGTTGGTACAGCGGTGATTCGGCCTCGGCTCCGTTGCGATTCGCGGTTGTTGATGGCTTTTCGGCCTTGGATCTCGAGAACAATCCCACACCGCTCCTGCTCTTCTTCAATGGGCCGACATGTCCTTTAACTGCAAGATCCTTCTTGACGGGGCTTCGAGCCGACGGTGTGTTCTCTTTCTGATCTCTACTACTTCCAGTGGGTACGGCTCTGGTTGAGCGAGGTGTATCGCGGGCATACTGGCTAAGATCACCGAGGGAAGGAGAATAGATCGGGGCGTCTTCGAGCGAAGTCGTATCTGAGCCTTCGCGGTCCTCGCTATTGGGCGTCGCTGTGCGTCCGCGCGGTAAGTCAACAAGGGCATCACGGTCAACTGGCAAGGCTTGTACTGCTCGATATGGGACGGAAGGCGCCACAGCCATCGCTCCAGGTGGGTGCATACGCAATGGGTTGACGCCTCTCGGGCATCCAGCTCTCGGCGCCGCGGGCACATAGCCGTTCTTTTCAGCCGAAAACACGACGGGCGCCACAGCAGCTTGTTGGGCAGTATTGTCTTCCTGGTCGGGTTTGAATTCATGTGTCTCAGGATTGTGTGGTTCAGCAGGTCGAGGTGTTGAATGTAGCTTCTGGGGATGACCTCCGCAATCCAAAGTCTTCAAGAGATTCGATTGAGACGAGGCGGCTATCGCTTGAGCAACAGGAGGCGCTGGCTTGGATGGCGAAATTGGTGGGAATTGCCGTCTTGCTTCATCTCGATTGCCAACTCCCTTTTCTCCTTTCTTGGGAAAGAAGAAGGATGACCTGGACTTGAGGAAGGGCATATTGTGTGGCACGCTCGAGTAGAAGTCAAGTTTGTCAACGGCACTGGCAAATGATCTGGTGAGTGAGCCAAATGCAGACTCGTTGTCGCTGTGTTCGGCAGCCAAATCAGTCGTGGGAACGTCTATGATATCGCCGCGGCCAAGGAGAGGCGATTCTCCGCCTCTTGGTTCTGCTGCACCTTTGTTGATGATGACAGACTTGCGTCGAATGTGGCCATGTCCTGTAAGTCTTTTGATTTTGCCTTTGTAGAGATTCACAGTCTCTGCTCGCCGACGGGACAAATCTCTCTTCAACGTCGGGTCTTGGTCGCCTTCTACGTCTCCGACTGTCTCAGGATCATGTTCCTGCTGTGCGGTTACACTTTGTGGGTGTGAAGTTCCATTTCGAACCCTGCTCCTAATCGCATTCTTCAGCCGCAGGATCCGGCCTCTTTTCGGCGTTGTCAGACCGGTAGGCGGCCCGAGGCTCTCACCATGAGGCCCGTCAGAAGCCTTTGCATCCCGTCGCGTTTCCCCAGGGTCCTGATTGCTGGTTGCAACCCAGCCGACTTGCGAGTTCCAAGTGGATTGAGCAAAGGCCACATCAGATATTTCTCCACAGTGGACTCTTTCAGCACGAGCCACCGAGACGTTGGTGGTACTGGTAAGGACGGGAGCGGAGATAACACTGCGAGCAACTGTGGAAGTACTAGACGTCTTGGGCAGCTGAGTGGAGATGCTGCGAGGATAGGGACTTTGGGACGATAAACGGGAAAAGGACAGCCACGATTTGGGACGCAGTCGATGTGCCCGACGACGTGTGCTGTGGAACTGCTGCACAGTGGTCTCTGCTTCTCCCTGAGGTTGCTGGTCTTGAGCACGGTTACCCAATTCTTGTGCAGAGCCCTCCACGACATCGTTGGGGGCAATCGGCTCAGGGGAGGCTGGCGGCTGGTCATTGGGATCACATCGATGAGAGAGACTGGATTCTGTTCGATCACGCAGTTCATCCTTTGAGGGGATTCGGGATGCTGAAACAAATGGTCAGACGGTGATAACATGTATCCGGCAACGTCTTACCTTGTCGTGAACCAGCACGACTGAATGACCGGATAGTGTCAAAGGAGAAGATAGAGAACGAGCCCTTGCTCCGAGATCGTGTGTGAGAAACCATGATGGCTCAACAGTCAAACAAGTTTGTCACGAGATGATCATTATCTCGATGGCCACGCTGGACCCACGAGACTCGAACGACAGCGAGATGAGGGAGGTGGAAGAGGAACGTCAGTAGACAAGCTAGAATGAAGGCTCCGCAAACCTGGAACAAGGCCGCAGGGTGAGCCTCATGATACCTACCTACCTAGGTAGGTACACTGCCAGATGAATGGGATGAATGGCAGCGCAGGCACAGCCATCGCCAGGGCAAGTCCATCCCAGTGCCCAAGCATGCAGTTGCAGGTACCCAACATGCTGGGGTCATTTGGGAAGGAGCGATGTTACGAGACACTCATTCTCCAAGAACTTGAAGCTGCACAAACTAGACGGAACATCGCCTCGTCCAACTGGCATCAATCCTTTTTCTGTGTGTTTAAATTCTCTTTCTGTACCCGTCCACACGGTTCTCAATACCAATCGTCGTCTTGCACGCTCCCGATCTCTCTTCAAACCCACAAGGAGCCCTATCGTGGCCTGGGAGGCGCAGGAAGAGGTCATTGTCGGCCAAATAACACATCATCTCAGACATGGCCAGCGAGAGACATGCGAGGCTCCTTGAGATGACCACGCAAAAGTCATTGGCTGGCCCATTGGCTTCATTCAAACAGCCGCGGCAATCGACGGCCAAATCGCGGTCTTTTGGATCCGTTCCCTCCAAATGTGGGGAGAGGGACGAAGGCAGGGTGGTTCTTCTTTTATCTCGATTTTGAAGGCCCCGCATAATCAATCAAAAGCTGGATTAATAACTTGTCTTCGGCTATAAGATCTCTATATCCTCTGCGAAAGTTGGGAGTGACCTTGCCATCAGGAACCCGAGGCCAGCTTATTCCGAAGAAGCCTACCCATTTTACTCCCACCAATATGCCATACTCTCTTAAAGGACGTAATGTCTTGGTAACCGGAGGATCTAGGCAAGTCATCAGTCAGCTCCCGAGAACGCTATATCCATTTTACTGACAAAAATCCCCAGAGGCCTCGGGGCGCTGATCTGCGAGAAGTTCGCAGCAGAAGGAGCCAACATTGTCGTGAACTATGTCAGCAGCAAAGACAGAGCCGATCAGGTCGCCGAGAAGTGTAAAGGGTTTGGAGTCAAGGCTGTTTTAATCCAGGCTGTGAGGATGCTAGGCTACCTGCCGAAACCCGCCACAGAATGCCCGCTCTGACAGGTGAACAACCAGGAAATTGGGAATGTCAGCGACACTGTTCGACTGGTCAAAGAGAGTGCTGAGCAACTGGGAGGACTCGACATCATCATCAACAACGCCGGCTGGACCCGTTTCACCAATTTCGGAGATATCAACGACATGAGCCATGATGAATGGAACAAGGTACGGTCATCAATGGTCACCCGCTTGGAACCCCTGGCTCACAATCCCAGTGTTGGGCCACCAACGTCATGTCCCATCTGGTGTTGTTGCAGGAAGCTGCCCCGATCTTCAACAAAAACCCGGATGGCGGCGCCTTCATCATCTCTTCATCTGTCGCGGTAGGTCCATCATTCCTTACCCCAGGAGCGTATGCTGAACTTTGGCTAGGGTATAAGCTGTTCCGGAAGCTCCATGGGGTATTCTGTTACGAAAGCAGCAGGACTACATTTGATGAAATGCCTTGCCACCACACAAGGCCCAAAGATCCGCATCAACGCCGTCCTTCCAGGTCTTCTTCTAACGGAATGGGTTGGTCTCTCACTGCTTACGCTGCCGCCGAGTGCAGAGCAAAGATGGTATTGACACCTGCGATAGGGCCTGAGGTACAGTGAAGAGCGCATCAAGGCTGTTAAGAACGCTGCCGCTCTTAAGCAAGAGGTGTGTACTCTTCTCGAAAATGGATCTGCCCGACTGATAACATTTTCAGACTCTGCTCGACGATTGCGCAGACGCCTATATCTCACTTGCGAAGAATACTTCTATTACCGGTCAGGAGATCGTCGTTGGTGCGTCCCGGATTGTGCCCTTGTTTCCAAAGAAAGTCACTGACAAAAGCCAGACTCTGGTCTTGTTATTCGATAGAGCGCCAGGGTCAAGTCCCCGCGGTGTTGCCAGACATTTGGACGTACGGGGGCTCTGACATCCCAGATATAGGGTGGGAGAAGCGATAAAACTTATACTGGCCGAGGTCTTCGGGCTCGGAGAAGAATTTTGCGCGGGCGGCCGCTCCGGCACCTGGGCCTTTTGACTTAGACGCGACAGTGATTGTCGGAATGACAACTTGGCGACTCTCCTGATGCTTTTCTGACTGTGCGTTCACGATTAGAGGTCCCGAACTCTCGTTGACATTCTCGTGTGTGGCAACAATGGCGTAGGGAACACCAGCCGGCATCGCTTCCGCTGCAATCCTAACCTCTTCTGGGATGTCTCCCACCCGTACGTCCCTCATGTCCGTCCCGAAATTGATACGGAGCACCTGCGTCGGCTCAGGACCGAACCTGACAAAGCCATGAAGGGCTTGAAGTGCACGGTCTCGCCTGAGAATCTCGGATTTCGTGAGTGCCCCAAAGTCGATGGCGCAAAGTTCGTTCGTGATCTTCGGAGCATGCGTCAAGACCCCACTCGAGATATTGCTAGACTCGATGGCTTTGTAAGGTGGAAGATACAGACGATTCCTGATGGCGTCAACCAACATTCTGGCACCGATGGGAGCTAGATAGCTCGTGAGTTCCTCGGCCGTGATTTCGTCTGGACGGGGGATATCCAGCCCCGGAGGTGCCGTTTGGTCCAGGACTACGCCCTCGTCGAACCGCGTAGGGTGAAGCGTCTGCAGCGAAATGCCGGTTTTTCGCCGTCCAGTGATGATGGCCCATTGGATAGGTGCCGGACCGCGTAGGTCTGGAAGCATGGAAGGGTGGACATTCAGACCCCCATACCTTGCAGACCCCAAGATGCGAGGCGGGATCAACAACCCAAAAGAGACGGCGATGACCAGGTTGCAATTTGGCGTGCTTGTGTCGCTGAACACGGGCGGGCTCCAGCCCCTGAACGTGTCGATCTGGTGCACCGGCAGGCCCAGTTCCTGCGCCGCGGGCTTGATGGCCGGCGGCTTGACGAGCTTGCGACCCCGGCCGACCCTCTTGTCGGTCCTTGTCACGACATCGATCGAGAGGACGTTGCTCCCGGCTTCACTCTTGGAGTACTGCGCAAGAGCTTGCAGCGAGGCCACGCTGAAGCTGTCGGTGCCGCAGAAGAGGATTCTCAGGGGTTCATCGTCGCTTTCACTTTTGGGGGTGGACAGGTGTCGTCGATATGAACCCTTGCCGAAGCTCCATTTCGACGCGTGGGCCCGTCGTGCAGGCGAGCAAGTTGCCACGCGGAATGGAAGGTGTCTCATTCGTGAAATTTTTGCGTGAAGGTGGTGAAAATATAGCAGGCGTATGAAAATACCGAGCATGTGAGAACTTGCTTGTAATAGCTCATTCACCCGATTGAGGCGATAGTGATGGCCGCCCTGTAGCAACTCACCAAGAACCAAGAATTCGGCGCAATGATTGGCTTCTCCAAGGACGGCTTCTTAAAGCAGCCGAAGAATGCTCTCGATTCGTCCAATAAGATTACGACTTACGGCTTTTGAATTTAGCATCTCTGACTTCGCTCTTCTAGTCTACTTAGCTACGTTGTTGCGCTGGACTCTCAGTATATACACCGTTTGAATACGGCGATTCATCTTTTGTAGACCTCTTTTGACTGTTGCCAGGTAGCTACAAAGCAGGGTGAGCTTCTTCCAGTTGCCCTCGCAACGAGATGCGCTTCCGACGGAGGTAAAACAGACACTCGAACCAAATCTGGTGAGGCCTGCGTTACACTCCTGCGTAGCTGCTCGTTTAGAAGTCGAGCGTGAACTCTCGTTATATCGTCTCCCGAGCCGGTAATTGAGACCACTCGCGCCCGCAGATCAGCTGCAACTCCTGGCAATCTTCCGTATCTAGACCCCCCCGGAAATCGCTGGCGTACTCGACGCGCAGACTCCTTGCGGCGGATTTGGTCTCGAGGTCGGCTGCCCCAAGCTCAGCCGCGAGAAGACACACGCTTATAGCAGACGCCCCCAGTGGTCGGTACTGAGACGCGATCCTGGCCAGGTGTAAGATTTCCAGGGCAAACTCGTGCGACTCTTGCAGGATCTCAGCCGCGACGTCCAAGCGCAAGGCAAGTCGCACCTCGTTGATGACAATGGCGATGGCAAGACCGAGGCTGTACGTTCGTAGGAAGTGACAATGCCCCAGGTCTGCCAAGTGAGGCATCCCTGTGATAACGACAATGTCTGAAGCCGCCGAGTTTTTCTGCCAGCGCTGACGAAGGCGGGATAGTGCGGGCTCGAGATCTGCGCGAATGGCATGTGCCTCTTTCCGCAGGTCTGCAAGTTGATAATCGTGATGGCCTAGATCCCCCGTCAGTGCAGCCTTGCTTCGCCGCATCAGATTCGGCACGCGAGTCAAGCATTGTACTGCTTGACCTTCGGGGCTGAGCTCATAGAGCTGGCTGTCGAACATAGCAATCCACTCTTGGTCGCTGAAAGCAATGCGGCTATTGAAGAGAGAGTCAAAGAGCTGGATGGGGACGACGTAAGCGACTGATTGACCATTCAACCCCTATTGGAGACTTACCACAACGGCACGAAGACTGAGGAGTAGGTTGGTTTCGAACGGGTCGTGGCAGTTGTCGGCACTGCCTCTCAATCTGAGGATCTGGGCAACGCCGTCTGCGTGTGTGGTGATAGGCCCATTCCTTTGCCATATGAACTGCTCGTGTGGCAGTGTATCAGCAACAAAATAAGGCAGGGAGATTGTCAGGTTCAGGCAAACCAACCTGACAGTTCCACAGGAACAAAATGGCGCACAGAGTTTCCGGGGCTCTCGCCTTCACGGGGTCATCCAAACACTTCCTCAGACTGGCCAAGCTTCGGCCATACTTCTCGAACAAGGCAGGACTGCTTTTGGAGCTGAGAGGATCCGACAGCGTCGTAGTGGCCGTCAGAAAAGCGTCGGTGGCACTATCTAGAGCCTCATTCACGCCTAGGCGGGCTGGAACATAGTTGAGGTAGTCCCCGTATGTCCAAGCCAGGTTGTACTGGACGCCGAGACTTGGCTTGATTTTATCTGTGAACGCATTCACCAGCCGAGTCGTCTCGTTTGACGGGCTCCGAGATAATAATGGGACCGTCGTATCGAGATTTGGCGAGCTATGCGCAATGGACGTAGTGGACGCAGTTCCAGCTTCCGAGGGTTGCTGGGAAGAGAAAGTGGTGCCCGTCGCTGGGGTGGAGGCTCTGTTATCAGACACCACGAACTTGTACCGACGTTGACCCAGGCCGACGCAGGGAATGTCGAGGCGTCTGCACCGCGAACATGGCGAGGTGGTGGAATCGCACTATACACGCGTTAGGAAAAGAGATTGTTAGAAGCTGCACAACCACAAAACAAGCACTTGGGGTGCGAGAGCATCATTCGGGGTCGGGGTTTGGATTGCTAACCTTTTTCTTTTGCTGGCGACATGCGTCGCACCCTCGTCCTGAGGGAACACCTGGCATTCTTCTTCGATATTGCGACCATTGTATCGTGGGGCAGTACGAGAGCGAAAGAAACGTTGGAAAGAAGGAGTGTGAAAGGCGGTCGCGGATTTGGACTGGAATACGACTGGGATTTCCGACGGTAAGGAGTCCTGTAGATTGGTTCGTTGGAAAACCAGCGGCTGCATGGCACAGCACAGCATAGCCTCAGTAGCCCCATAGCGAAGTCCCGTAGTTGGTAGAGATCATCCCCTGCCTATCGTCGGATTGCGGAACGTCTCCATCGCTAGGCAGGGAGTCTGGCGGGCGGTGGAGGCTGCAGGCCAGCAACCGCTAAGCATTAGAAGTTCCAGTTGGACTTCGTTGGGACTATGAGCAGAGCATTAATTCACCCTCGAGCTCTCAGTTGGCGTTGTCGTGAAGTCCAGGTCCAGAATGCTCTCAAATGTACCGGTCCGCGATTTTACTTGGAGAATTGAATCAAATGGAGGAGCGACAGGTCGGGTCACGATGGTCATAGAAACACAAGCATTTTATCAAGTAGAGCCCGCTCATTTACGAATTGGTTTGGTAGAAAGAAAGATTATCTGGAACGATTATATTGTCGCTATCTGAAGTACGCTCGAGCCGCAGCAACACCAGCCCCCGCGGGAACTCAGGAGGTCTTGACAAGCCGCACTCTCCAGGCCGCAGGGCTGACAGCTACCGCATTGCCATTAGCATCTAGATCGAACACGAAAAGGCCGATTCCAATACCGCCATATGTGGGCGAGTCACCGTCCAGCCAGTCTAGGTTGGCATTATACTGTTGAGAAAACAGCCCGCCCGATGGGGCGCGAAACGAAGAGGTCCTGAATGCCATTCGTCCATGGGGGCGATCGGATATCGAGTGCAAGAGCCTTACCGGACTGTCGCCAATCGCGCCACTGCGCAGGACATCCGTGCCGTTACTGACAAAATGAGTGATCACCAGACCGGGTTTCCCTTGTGGATTGATCGTCAAAGTCAACGTGCTATTGAGGCTCTCGTCTTCGGAGGTATACGTGCCCACAAAACTATTCTGCGCCTCAGCTTGCGCCTGAGCAGTCAATGCTGGTAACATCTGCTCAGTGACGAGGTCCGCGAGTAAAGCAGTCAATGAAGACCGCTCTGATAGAGAGCTTGCCGCAATGATGCTGAAGCCTGCATCAAAGTCTGGGATTAGGACCATGTAGCCGCCGTAGTAGCCAGAGTCGCCCAGTTTTGTGTAGATGTCGGTGACAAGTCCGGAGTCGGGGTGCGTGTAACGGTATATCTCCCATGGTCTTCCTATCGAGTATTCAAACAAGGCAGTGTGTGAGACTGGCTTCATCCATTTGCGGGTCTGATCAGGGTCAAGGAGAGTCCCGTTGAGAAGTGCGGTACCGAATTTCGCAAGGTCGTTCGTCGTGGAGAAAATCCCGCCTGAGGGTATCGTGACCTCTGGAGCGCCGGCCGGTGTCAATGCTGCTGAGCTAGCATTGCCAGGAATGACGTATTGGTTGTATTGGGATGGGCTCGGGACGTTGGAGAATGAAGAATTCATTCCAAGTGGACTGAAGATACTTTCCCGGTAGACATCGTGAATTGAGATGCCGGTAATGTTGGCTATCGCGGTGCCAAGCAGCATAAACCCATAGTCTGTGTATGCCGGACTTGTCCAGGGCAGGAACATCGGTGGTCGAGCTTCGGCGCCAATTGCGTATTCGTTGCTGGGACAGGACAGATTCCCTGACAGTTCAGAGATCAGACAGGGAGGGGCCGCCAGCGGATCGCTCACATTCAGAGGTGGCAATCCAAACGTATTCACCGGCTCATTGATGCCATATAGCAAGAGGTAGTCCCCCGGGTCGTACGGTGAGATATCCCTCGGATTGCCTGCTATCTGGCTAGCGAGAGCAGCAAGTGTGACCTTGTCCCAGTCGACAGTATCCACCAAATCATTCTCTGCTGGATGTGCAGCCGCATACGCTGCAAGGGTGGGCACAAAGTCGGTGATAGGACGATCCCAATCACTATCTTTCAGATTAAGCATGCCTGCAAAGGTCGTGAAAAGTTTGGTCATGCTGGCAACGCGGTATATGCTGTTTCCGCCAACTTTCTTCACACCGGTAGATGAATTGGCAATCTCGCTAGACGTGTGATGGAGCTGCAACGATCCGGCAGCTGAGGCGTCGTGGATGGAGAACATTCCCACGGAGAAGGTGAGGTTTTTTAACCCCGCAGGACTCGTCAAGTTGGTGCTTGGTTCACTGATGAATCCATTGAGAGTCGAAGTGAAATTCCTCCAAGCGGCGGAGACATGGCTACCGTTACTCGCGAGATCCGTAGGAGCTGGATAGGTTGGGCCCAGGAAGTCGCAGAAGACACCCGTGGCACAGGCTGCGATGAGGAGGGTTCGTAGTGTAAAATGCATTCTTATACGGCTCGGTTGGGATTCTTGTGGACATGTCCATGCTTGAGGACCATGGCTGAGGTGGTGGTATATATACCTCGAAATGCGAGCAGAGTCCAAGGCATCTGTTCTTGGCTATATGCTTCAAAGCCTTCGCTGGGAACGTCACAAAGACGACCAGCCAAGTTCCAAGCCGCAGGATCGACTGCACTAGCTAGACTGAAGAGTTGCATCGACCCAGGAGTTTGAAGCACGAGTTGTGCTGTCCAACCGCCCCCACCGACATTGCTCTTGGAGCTAGTCCCGATTTGGTGCTATGCAGCGCTCCGGTGGCGACATTATCAATGGGATTGCATAGACTTATATTTGAATCTGGACGCCTGATGATGGCATGCCCCTTGAGCCAAGGCATGGAGATCGTAACTTCAGCTGTATAGCCTCGTGAACCAAGTTTTCTCTGGCTTAGCATCGTGGGCGTTGGTTGACTTGTGGCGGAGACTGATGTTCGACATTGACGGCCAACTGATTGTTAGCCTACCTACCTAGTAGGCAATAGCGGCTGGGACTCGTGATGGCAGTGTTAGTACAAGTGAACAGCTGAGTCAAGAGGTCGCGCCTATTTATCCTCCGATCAGAGAGGACAAGAACATCGATGGTTGCAGTATACCAGACGGTGTGAGGCTGGGGGAGTTCGTGCACTCGTATGTACCTAGGTACCTAGGTATATGTAGGTACCTAGGCACACTAGTAATAGAGGTATTATGGCCAGCTTCCTGATAAGGGCATGTCACGAGACAAGCCTTTTATGTGCTAAAACTTCCTAATAAACTACCCTCCGTGACTCTGCCTCGTACTTGGTACGTACCTCGGTTTGCGGGGCTCAAGACAAATCCACCTGCGCAGTTCCAAGTTTCACGACTGGGCCGAGCCTCGTACTCTGAGTGCCAGAGACAATTTCAATCCCGATAGCGTTCGCCTTCCTTACCTAGGTACCTTTTGGGATACTTTCTCTACTCTCAGAACATCGAGGCTGTTCCCAGCCGCCCCTCAATCCACATCTACTGAGGCACTCTCAGCCGAAAGGAACGACATAAAAGGACGCCGAACTCGACCTTCCCGTTGCCAGACGAAGTGCGGTCAATTGACATATCTTGGCTGGCATAGCCACTACGAGAATGGCTGAACCGCCCGAGTCCGCAGACTCCAAGTCGCAAGCGACCAGTTCGATGCAGGCACCCTCAGGCCAGAAGCCTCTCGACACAGCGGTCGAAGAGGATTCAGATCCAGACTTTGACGACCTCGACGGTAGGCTCGCACACATTCCTTCTTTTACGTTCTTCACTCCAAGTAAGTTCTTGACGATATTAACATGCTCTGCCATTTTAGATGTTCTCGATCAATTCTCCGCCGCCACCTCCCAGCAACAACAGTCAAAATCTCAGCCTCCAGAGCCCGCACCTTCGTCCTCCGGGCCCGGCAGACCGTTGACGGAGAAATCGTCGGCCCTCCCACCAGACCTGCCAATTCCCTCCGGTCCTCATGCCTCGGAGACGGAAGACGAATTCATGGCCCGGCTGACGGCTGAAATGTCCGATGTCATGTCCAAGATGTCGCTCGACCCGGCGGCCAGCGCCGCCACACCAGAGGAAATCTCAAAGATGGGCCAGGAATTGGAGGAATTCACGCAGAAGATGGAGGCCGAGGGAATCAAGCCGGAGGATCTCCTGAGGGCCATCTTGGGGGAGGACGTCGGCGGGAAAGTCGGGGATATGGCACACGCGGAAGCGACGAGGAGGGAGAGCGACTCCAAGTCCAAATCTAAGTCCAAATCGCGAAGCCCCCAAGCCTCAAGAGATACAGCCGCAAGCGCCCCCTCAGCAGCAGCACCATCCTCAGCAGCAGCAGCAACACAACCCAGCACCGCCAAGCAACCGTCGACCTCGTTCGAGGACACGATCCGCAAGACGATGGCGCGGATGGAATCCTCCTCGGCGGCAGCGTCGTCGGCAACTGCCAAAACCTCGCAACAAAAGTCCGAAGAAGACATGCTTGCCGAGATGCTGCGGGCGCTCGAGGCCGAGTCCGGTTCGCAGTCGGACAGCGAACTATCCAAGATGTTCCTGGGGATGATGGAACAACTGACAAACAAGGACATGCTGTACGAGCCCATGAGGGAACTCTCCCAAAAGTTTCCCGATTACCTCTCCACCCACCAGCCGCCCGCGCTGCCACAGTCCGAGCACGAGCGCTTCTCGCGCCAAGCCGCCATTGTGAGGGATATTGTGGCCAAATTCGAGGAACCGGGGTATAGCGACGACGACCCGAAGTGCCGCGAGTTCATCTGGGAGAAGATGCAGGAGATGCAGACGGAGGGGTCCCCACCTGACGATTTGATCGCTAATCCACTGCCGGGCATGAGCGGCTGGTTGGGAGGAGGAGGAGGCGAGGGCGCAGAAGGCCTGGACGAGAGTTGTCCGACGCAGTGAGGCAGGCCGAGGGGCTGGAGCCTGAAACCGTGGCCTACGTTCTGATGGAGATGGGCCATATAGCATTGAAAAGCGAATGGGCGCTGCGGGACGCGACGCGTAGGAAAATGTAATAGTTGCCGCTGGAGTAATCGAGAAACTCACCTTGTCAACCCCCAGCGTTTGAGCAACTTGTAATGGGCCGTGATACCACGTACTACACACACACACACACACACACACACACACATACACACACATACATACACACACATACATACACACACACACACTCTCTCTCTCTCTCTCTCATATACACGAGAATTCAGATGCCAGCGATTTCACGCAAATAAATGCCTTGCTCATATACATAGAGAGAAAATGTGAACGTGTTGTGTTGTATTGGCGAGCTATCAGGACATACAGGCACAAGAGAGAAACCCCGGACCAGCTTGCCTCCTCGAAAGGAGTTTACACGGAGAGACCAAAGTTTCATCTTCGTCATGTATTGCTGTATTGATGATATCGCGAGCAACCTGGCATTCATTGTGACCGCTCCCCTTTTTTCCCTCATTCAGTTGTTCCTGATACAGCACCGTCATGCCAGACAGAAGTTCTCGCCCCGCCCACAACGTCTCTGTTGCTGTGTGTGGTGTCGGTTGGAACCCGGGATGTCAGATGCCAGACTGTGTTTTCTCATAGTAGGTTGTTTGTACAGATGAATGCGTCCTGCATACCTAGGTATGTGTCTCTCGACGTTGTGTAAAGATTACCCAGGTATCTAGGTAGGTGGAGACCAAAGCTCTTCTTCCGACCGAAGGAGGCACCATTGTCGCCCACACACTTGACGCCGAGCGCCTCAAAGCCTCACAAGCCCTTACAGGTAGTGGCAATCAAGACAAATCCATCGTCTCATCATTAATTGCAGCTGTTGCCCCATGCTGCGGGAGCTGGAGCGGGAGTGAAGGAGGAGGCTCGCGGGGAAAAGCCGCCTGTTTCGTATGCGTGCCCGGTCGATGCGCGAGTTCGTATTCGTGTTGTTGCGGTTGAGGCGCCGGCGGTGGCGGGTCTTGCGACTGAGATTGAGATTGAGAGTGCTGTGAAAGGATCTCCATCTCTCTAAACAGCCGCTCATACTCTTCATCCTCGGCGTCTTCGACCACGAATTCATCATCCCTCATCACTCGCAAATTCTCCCGCTCATATTCTCTCACCAATTCATCAACCTCGACATCTTCCTCGTATTCTTGCGTCGGGCTCAGCTCCTCTTCATCTTCTTTGTACTCGTCGTCATCATCATCACTCTCAATTTCTTCCTGCTGCGAGGCCTCCATTGCCGCCCTGCGCGCCATCTCCATCTCCCAACCCCTCCTCTCCTTGACAAAATCCATTCTCAAGACCTGCTCCCCAACCTGTTCGGATCTCTCATCGTCCCTCCTCCGTCGGATGCGATCTAGGAATTTTGAGCGCCTTTGCTCTCGATTTCTGTTGGTTTGGCTGGTTAGGAGAGATGAGGGGCTCGAGGAGCGAGACCGCAGTTCCCACTGCGATGGCGGATTCTGATGACTCGACGTCGTCGTAGAGATGGTGGTCAAGCGCGTGGGATTCGCAGACGACGGGATTGATATAGAGGTCTTGGTAATCCATTGTTCGTGCGAACCGATCGTCGAGTTGAAGTTGTGGTGGTTCGAGCCTGAATCAGGCGGCGTGATCAGCGATGGATGTCTATCATTACATCCATGTGATCCGAAATTCGTCTTCCCTGAGGGTGTCGAGACATAATTCTCTTCCTCTTCATTCTCGCTACTCTCCATCCTCTTGTTCTCATCTTGGTTCTCTAAAAACCCACTCCTCAAAGGCGACGAACTCAGCAGGCTACTCGTATGACCATAACCACCCTTAAGCTGCGGCGGGGAAGACATCAAATTCGCATTCCTCGTCGTCCGCAGCGGCGAGGGAGAATGCGGAGCGTAATCGTAGAACGCCCTGGCGTGCGCCCGCCCGTAGGTACTATTATCGTGGTTATGAGATTTTGAGAAACTCGCGCGGCGGGAGGACTGTTGAGACGTCGTCGAGGCAAGGACCTCAAACGGACTGGATGGTGGCGGCGGCGTTGGAGAAGAAAGGAAGAACATCCTCCCTCTCTCCTTCTCTCTTCTGTAGAGGGGATTCCGGGTTGTGAGGGGACGTCTAGACTGTATATTCACATGAGTGACGAGCCTTCGCAAGAAGGTTGAGTCGAATTATGCGTATGAGTGACAGTGAGTGGCTGTTTGCTGTAATAAGAGTGCGACTCCGGAAAACGCGTGAGGGCTGCGCGCGACCGTGTTCCGAGGCCACTCATTAGGCTACTAGCCGCATTCGGAATAGATAGGAATATTGTCATCAAGTACGAGATACTCGTACAGACATACGTACCTTACCTGTAGGTACCTAGGTACCTAGGTAAGTAGTAGGCGACTACGACTGATTCCTTCTCCATATCAAAATGCTTCCGGGAAAAGGGCTCCGGGCGTGGGAGGCTTCAATTTGCTTTTGAGCCGAAACTGAGCTCAGACTACCCAAACCCTCAATTCGCGCGAGCCAACGGTGAAACTCTACGAGAGGCAAATGGTACATAACAAAAGGAAATTTGTATTTCTAGCTAGCCAATGCCTCAGACCACCTGCACGCCTAGCCCCGATTTTCCATTTCCATATCCTATGTACACCTTCGAACAAGATGGGACACTGGTGAAAATAAGTGCTAAACAGCACGAATTAAGCCCCCGAATACATTGGAAGCGGCATCACTCTCAAAATTGCCCTTTCGGCTAGGTCCGAGTGGCCCTTGGCTTTGATGCTGGTTTGTTGTGGCAGAATGTTTCTGTCTCGCTAAAACTTGAAGGCCAAGTACTGTCATAACGATCGTCAATGTGTTGGTTCAGTGACCCACTTGTTTCTAAAAGTTTGACGCCGTGTTGACAGGCCCAGGGGAATGGTATTGATCCAACGTGGAACGGAATGGCGTGGTAGAGTCTGATCCTGCGGTGCCGCTGAGCTTGTCTTGGTTGAGGTTGGGATCGTAGAGGTCGTCGTCGTGAAGGTTCTTCTTCTTGCCCCAAATCCTCCAGGCCGTGTATGCCAATCCCGCAAGCAACAGAGCACCACCAACACCGCCCACAACACCTCCAATGGTGGCCTTGGCTGTATTACTGAGGCCGGAACTGCCGCCTTTGCCGCCTCCGCCCGTCAGGGAAGCAGGATCAACACTAGTTGTGACTGGGATGAGGCTACTGCTGGTGCTGGTAAGATGCACTGTGCTTCCTGCACTGACACTTGTGATTGTAGTAATGACCTCTGAAAGCGAACTTGTAGTGATCAATGTCTTTGAAGGAGTAATTGTGCTGGTGTCCGTAAGCGTGGATTGGGATACGGAGCTGCTGTCTTCAGAGGAGGAACTCGACGAAGGGGTATGCGTAGATGTTGTCACGATGACAGTTACCGATGACGACGACGAAGGGGGAAGAGTGATTGTGGAAGACGTTGTCTCGGTGCTTGCAGAGGTGGTATCGCTTGTAACGGTCACAGACGTAGTCGAGTCGCCGCCATCGCTGGTTGGGGAGGTAGTCGGAGTCGTAGTGTCAGTGGAACTGCTCGAGTCGGAAGAGCCCGAGTCGGAGCTGCCAGTAGACAAAGGTACATTTTGTCGTTTGAAGAGGGCAATGGCATCGTCTAGAGGATCGGCTGACACTGTGGAAGCACAGAGCAGGCTGAAAAGGAGTACAGTGAGTGACCGCATCTTGATGAGAATGTTGGAAGGGGATGTCCGGATTCCAGGTGGACAACGGGACAAAGATGTTGAAACAATCGAGACACGCCGCGGGAAGGTCTTGAGGGCGCGAAGAGAGTGTCAGGCGGTGTTTTGGATGATCTCTCGAAGGCGAGTCAAGGTCGCGAACGAAGGGGCCCGGTTCCGGTAACGATCGAGGAACGAAAGGCACGTGTGTGCGTTCAGTTTATGAGGTTCAGCTCTTGAAGAGTCAAAGCCAGGCGAAACTGTGTTTGACACCTGGTACAGAAATGGTGAAGGTAGTTAAAACAAGGAGATGAGAATAAGACAATGGGGACAAAGCGAGGGAAATATGGGGTGAGGTCTGAAGGTGAGAAAGAGAGAAAATGGGAAAAAGTGGACAGTGTCAGGTGTGTGAGTAAGTGATCGAGTGAGTGAGTGAATGCATGAATCGAAAGAGGAGTAGGAGTAGCAGTAGTGAGGAAAAGAGAGAGGGTTACAATTCTACGGGCGCAGTATGGTAAAGAGAGACGAAACACACAGGGATGGCCCCAGGAGCCTGGCCCAAAGCCTAGCAGGCGCCCCAGAGGTGTGCTTGCAACCCGCTGGGCGCGCCAGTCCCAAGCCCGAAAGGCCCAAAGGCCCAAAGGCGGGATCAAATGGGCAATTAATTGGCGCACTGCCCCTACGCAGGAACCGGGTTGAGCGTGTTTGCACCAATCACACGGTCCCCAGGCGGGCCTTTGGTCCTCTTGGCTGTCTGCATGGGCCCCTGCAGTGCCTCAGTTCCCTTTGCTCCCCGAACAAAAACCTGAAACCCAACAAACAGATTTTCTCCCATTGTTTCCCGTCCGCGCATCACCAATCCACCATCACCTGTTCCGTTCCGAGCATTAGCCATCATTTTGTGCACCATCCTTGGTCCATCCCCCTGGTGCCGCCCATCTCGAGACCCAAGGGAGACATGATTCATCGGATGACGTATCTTTACCGAGGACACTAGCATCGACTGCCTGCAACGCAACGACTCTCACCCTTCAGCTCGCATGTGCAGAGGAGGACCAGGAGAAGTCAAGGGAAGAGGAGGACATGACCAATACCGAGTGTGGTGCATATGCAAGTCGCAAGAGGCCATCTCAAAATGTCATGCGTTACCGAGACCACCTGCAGGCGAAGTGGCAGAAGAAAAAAGTGCTCGTATCTGCATCTGCTACGCACGCAGGCACCATGCATGCATTCGGGTGGCGTCTGTTGCAGCGAATGGTACTCGGCACATACCCAGAGCTCTGTGGTATTAGTACCGCGAGAGCTGTATACCTCGCACATAACCCGCCCCCAAGTGAGAAATCTCGGAGAATTCGCTTACGAGACTGATCGTTCGTGATTATCATCAAGGCCATTTTCACCAACTAGTCAGCTGGGAATGCCCCCATCTGGGAATTTCTTTCGAGGAGAATTGGGAGGTTGGAGATGCCAGCAATACTCATACATTCCCATTAGGCGACTGATATGCGATAAATCTTACTCAGATCCAAGGGCGAGAGGGTGTCCTCCCCAGTAGTGACATGATCCGGAGCGCAGCATCCTCCGCCTCCCGCCTCGCTCACCACATGATCTGGATATTTGTATTACCTGTTTCCTCGTTTGCACCACATGATACTGATCGCTTCTGTTTCCTCTGAAGAGAGCACTTCCCTGAACAAGATGCCATGGCAGAACTGACCTCGCCCGTTCCACCCTGATGCCCTGAGACCCATACATAGAATGCGCCTTCCTGCTCAGAAATGAACCCGCAAATATGTCCATATGTCCGATCTCGAAAAAACAACATCGCGCAGTATGTGCACCGCTTCATTTGTACAGGATTCCCCATTTTCAATTCACCGCATGTTCCGCTGAGCCCCAGTTATCCTCCTCTTTCAACTTATACATGTATATTTTCCCTTTTCAAATCACCGCATGTTCTGGTGAATCCGAATGATCCTCCTCCTTTTTCACCTTATATACGTGGAACTGGATAAAGATGGTGATGTCTTCGACCATGGTGCCCAGACTGCCAATCAACCAGGGCAGATTCTTGACGACATAGCTGTGTTCCGTCGAGTGGCAGAGGATGCCTGCGCCGTAGGTAAGGTTGCCCATTAGGGAGAGGATGAAGAACAGGAGCGAGAGGCCTGTCAGTGCTCAAGATATCAGCATACAGTTTCGTCCATGAACATATCAAAACAATGATAGGCTGTCTTTACCTTCACAACTCCGATCCCTCGCATTCTTGATAATCTGCGGTATCCGAGCGCCCAAGTACGCCACGGCGCTGAGATACCCCAGCACCTGTGCGCCCGCCGCCATCGGTTCCTCCTCGTCACCACCTCCAGACGTAGGGGATGGCTTCCATGCGCCGGACTCGTAGGCCAACGCCCACCCAGCAGCCCCCACAACGCCAATCGCCAGCACGCTCATTGCATTTCTGAACCAGAGCCTCGTGCCGGAGTCGTCGCTCTCCTCCAGAATCTTGGATAGCGAGTCCTGCGGGTGGGCGGCCAAGCTGCTCCGTCGGCGGACACTGCTTCGTCGCCTGTCCATAGATCCCGGTATTGTCATGCTGTTTGTGCGGGTGCGCTTGAGGAGGGGTTCCTCTTCCGAGCTCCCTTCCCTCGACCGCTCTCCGTCGGGTGCGCTTCTCTCGCCATCGGCTCTCTCACCCCCATCGCTGGCCGTAGACCCGGACGCGCGCACATCGAGCAAGCGCTTGCCTTCCCTCCTCTTGTTCACAATCCCATAATACAGACACTGCCCGATCAACACTCCATCCGCAATACAGAAATAGACCCCGATGGCCACCACCACAGGCACGAGCCCTGCCCACAGCGCGCCCGCGAGGTTCGCAATATCCCCCAAGAACCACACAAAAATGAAGGCGAGGGAGATGGCCTCAGCGGAACCATTGCGGTAGTTTTCAATCAGCTGCGGCACCAACAAGAAAATCCAGCAGGCCAAAGAAATCGAGCCGAAGATGCCAGAGAAGGCTTCGCGCGTGGTCAGGGGGATGCCGCCGTTGGAAGGGGAAGGCGAGCTGGACAAAAGACTGACGACAAGCGACGCCATTGTTGGCGAGAAGAGGTTGGGAAAGATGTCGAAACTCAGTGCATGCCCCCTTGTTACAGAGAGTCTGAAGGGCAAGATATCCAAAGGTCGTTGAGCTGCAAAAATTCATTGTCGAGGCACGAGCTCCATCTGCTAATCGCTAGCTAATAATCGTGGGCTCTTTCGGGGGTGGGGTTGGCAAGGATAGGTGCCACCAGCGCCACCAGTGCCCCCGTCGGTCGCCATACCTAGTGGGCTTTTTCCTCCCCATCTTGCTCGCCTAGGTTTTCCCCAGGAAACTATGTACATCATCCTGCAGCCACAAGTCTGCTTCTAGTACAGACTACATATACACCCGACTGAGATCTCAGCTTTTTCGCCTTCTCATTCCCTCCAACGCCAATTTCCACTTGTAATACCCTAGTATACACCAGCAAGCACCCACAGTTCGCTCAAAAATATCTGTCAAGTCGGTTTCAGACACCCTCACCGACTTTCACAAGTCCTTCTCCATAACAAACATGAACCGTTTCACCGAACCACTTCCCACTTCACAGCTTTGCCATCCTTCATCGTGATGCGCCATCTAATCGCGGTCTCCTTTGTCACCACTTTGCTATGGTATTGGTTGCGTTGTTCAAGGCGTTGTTCAAGGCGTTGTTCAAGGCGTTGTTCAAGGCGTTGTCTGTTGCTCATCAATGCCATCTGTTGAGGAGTTGGCTTTGTTGCTGTGCGGGTTTGGGAGGAAGCAGATGGCAGGATGAGCCTGAGGGTGACCAGCGATCTGTTGAGTTTGGTGTTGCTCCCGCCTAAGCGGAATTTTAGTTGACCTGGTGACAGAGCCACCAATTCGGGCAGTAAGAGACACGATTTTCTTGGGCTTTTATCGGCACCCATCTTCGACTTTGAATTCTTTCTGATCGCCATATGGATTCCTTGTCGTGCTTCAAAGGGTCGAGTTGACGTGAGTTGTTGCTTGATGAGCTGCTGTGAGCTGTTGCTTGAAGAGCTGTTGTGAGTCGTTGCTTGAGGAGCTGTTGTGAATTGTTGCTTGATGAGCTGCTGTGAGTCGTTGCTTGATGAGCTGTTGTGAGTCGTTGCTTGATGAGCTGTTGTGAGTCGTTGCTTGATGAGCTGTTGTGAGTCGTTGCTTGATGA